CGACAAGCATTACTCTCTCTTCAACAAAAGCAAAGGGCGGAAGGGCTGCGCTTTGTCTGATGTGAGGCTGTCCGAGAACTGGGACCGTTTGGTCGGCAAGCGAACGGGAAAGGGAAAAGGGGAAACCAGATCTAGTAAGGTTTCGCCGAGAATGGAGCCTTGGGCTCGACAGCCGTTTTGGGATCGATTTTCACTTCAGTCCGTAAGTTATTCCAAAATGTCGTATTAGTCCCAACATTTAACCCATGTTGCATTTAGGTCCCAGCGAAACAGAACCGCTGCTCAAGTCCGTAAATTTTCTTAATTTGGTACAAATCAACGTTATTTAGATTTGATCTTGATTTTTCTTTAAACAAATTATTCAAGTGAATTTCTCACGTCATATTATAACTCAAAATTTTTAAATTTTGATTTAAAACATGACAATTAATAAGAAATTAATAATTTAAAAGATCAAAATTTTAGCAAAATTATCAAAAAAAATACAAAGTAAACTACTGCGCCTTTTGCCTTCCAACTTTTGGATATGGGAAACTAACTAGACTAAAGAAACCAAAACCCTCCACATAACAAAAGACACCAGTGTTTATTTCTTTTAAGTTACAAGGTCAAGAAACCAAAATGAGATTGATTACAAAGTCGATGGACTCGGAGGGCACTCTATGTAAAATACTACTGAACATGTTACTAAAAGATAATGGAGTTCTGGCAATGATTAGTTTGATTCAAACCATAGTCTGCAATTCACAGATAGAAAAATGGCACAAGGAATTTGATATATTTTACAAGAAGAAAATTGAGTAGGTAATCTACCAAAGCAACAATACAGGACTATGACACAATACTCAATGCTACTAGCTGTGAATGTGCATTTACCTAGAAATGCATTTGAAGTAGACCATTATGATCTAGCATCAAGCGACATGGTTGGCGTGGCTACTAAACTTATACTACCATGATTTGGAGCTGGCGATTCAGAAGGAACAAAAGTAGGCTTGGGAGGCATTTCAAGGAGCTCAATTTCACTTGCAAGCATCTCCAAGACTTTGGTCATGGAAGGACGAATGGCAGGTTTCATTTGTATGCACCACAAGGCAACTATGGCCATCTTCATCAGAACATTCTTTTCAACATCAGTAACATCTCCCAACTCTATATCCTCTCCCTGATCAAAACGTTTAGAAATCCATTTTGGGAAGTATACCTGACTTGATTGATCAGCAAATGCATTTAAGTTCCTTCTCCTTCCCACCATTTCCATCAACAACATTCCAAAGCTATAGACATCAGCTTTGTATGAGACGCCTCCAATATTCTTGTAGAATAATTCTGGAGCCATGTATCCTAGAGTACCTCTTGCTGCAGTAAGAGATACAATGCTATCATCTGTCGGATACAATTTTGCAAGGCCAAAATCTGAAACTTTTGGATTAAAGTTCTCATCCAAAAGGATGTTGTGTGGCTTGATATCAAAATGTAGAATCTGCATTTCACATCCTCGATGTAAGTATTCAATCCCCCTAGCCACTCCAAGAGCAATTTCAAACATTCTTTGACAGGTTAAAGATGTGTTGTTTTCACTAGAAAATATGATTTTATCCAAGGATCCATTTGGCATGAAATCATATACAAGAGCCCGTTTAGATCCCTCCACACAAAATCCGATCAGTCGCACCACATTAACATGATGAACCCTTCCAATGGTAGCAACTTCATTGATGAAATCTTGGCCATTAGCTTTTGATTTGTTCAATAATTTTACTGCCACTAAATTACCACTTTGAAGCTTTCCTTTAAAAACCGAACCATAACCCCCTTCACCTAATTTATCTTTGAAACCTCTAGCCATTTTCTTTATTTCAGAATAGGAGTACTTAATAGGCATAAAATTGTTCTGCTTTTGAAGGAACTCTTCAATTGTATCATCTGCAGACAAATGTTTCCTGCGAAACTTGTACACAATAACTGCAATCATGATGGATAGCCCCAGCAAAGTTCTTGCCAAGATAAATCCACCTTATCACAAAAAATTTAAGAACAGGATCACATTACATGGTTATATATCAATATTACCCACAAAATAGTTCTTATTAAAAAAAAAAGTGAAATTAAGACTGACCTGTTACTTCAAGAAATATGCCATCAGTATCTATTAGAATAACAAAATGACAAAGACATGTAAGCACATAAGCATACGGCATTAAGGAATGAGTATCAATTCCCATTAAAGATTGAATTAGAAAAGCATACCTTTGTAGTAGTGGTAATGGTAAAAATCATGACCGTTACCACTAATTAAATTTGCAAAGTCGAAGAGCGCATATACAACAATGTCAAAACTGAAATATACATTCAGCACAAGATAAGCATGAAGAGATATATATCAGTATATGGTAAGGCGATGGATAAAAGAATGAAAAGGATTTGAAGACCATCAAATCGATTTAAGGTGTTGGTAAATATGTTTAGATCATTATATATATGAAGCCGAAGAGCATAAAAAACAAGGTTTGCACTATAGGAATAATCCTAATATTGGCCCCTCAATTAAGCTATTAATCTTCTAAACAAATTGTGAACTCATACAAAACCAGTTGGTACGGTCAGTACATACGGAATTTGTCTTAAAACCAGTGAACTATAGGGCATTATACTGTACCAGTTAATTTCTCAGCGGTACCGGATGAAAAGTTGCATACCGGCCGAAATAACTGTACCGGGTAGTATGTTAATTTCGGCCGGTGCAAATTTGTAAGCCATTTTCACACACACACACACAAAAAGGTAAAAAAGAGGAAGGAGGCTGTCAGTCTGTGACTGTGAGGGTGATGCTGAATAATCAGGGGTTATGCGGAGGGGACAATGGAGGTGAAAAAATTGGAGGCGGTGCCGGTAATTTGTGGCCGGCACTGGTTTAATCGAATTTGCAGAGATAGTGAGAGAAGGAGAAAGTTGAGAAACACTGTAATCTATGGTTTAATTGATTTTTAAGCTAAAAGGGAAAAGAAAGTTGAAGTAAACCGTAATCTTTAGCTGTAGACTTTCAATTTCTAAGTGGGGTGACTTGAGCATTTGGGGGAAGGGGACTACGATGAGAGAGAAGGCATGCCGTTTCCTGATTCAGTGCTTTTTTTTTTTTTTGGTAGAAACCATTTTCCCGATTTAGTTTTGACTCAAATGCATGGACACGTGGTTGGTGAGGGTGAGATTTAGATGAGATATTTATTGAGATACAGAATGACGAT